ACTACTATTTAGTCAATTATTTCCTTGGAAAGCAAAGACAATAAAAGGGAGATTTTTATTTCTAAATGAATGAAAATAATTAGCTAAATCAAAGTAGTCCACTAACAGATTCAAATGTTGGAGTTTATATAGTTAATAAAAGTAACTAAGGTTTACGTGTTCCCCATAGGTTCCTAACTTGATAATTCTAACTATAACAATTCTTTCTTAGTATCTTGCATGTAAAGTGATAAGTTATGCATTTCTAAGTCCTTGGTCCGGCATCTAGAAAATTTCACTCCGTACCTTGGTCCGGCTACGTGTGTTGTTATACTAACCCTTAGCTTTACCTTATATTAAGCATCATATTCGATATTTGACTAAGTTATTACCTCGTACCAATCAATACTAGCCTATTACATAGTATACACTAAATCTATATTGATAATTTTTTTCCTGTTATCTACCTCCTTGGTCCGACAAGTAGCATTAAGGCGAGTTCTAACGTTGGTCATCCGTTAAAAAGACTTCTAAGCGAAAGAATTATCAATACATGCACAACAATATTCTAGAATTGTTATTTTAGTTAGGTTTTACCTCATTATTCGCCTATGGTTGCCACAACCCTAGTTATGGAGTTTAATTACCCATAGTCATATTCACAATATTCAAATATGTAATATAAGAATTCATGCACTTACTTCAATGAGAAAGAATGAAATCCAAAAGTTCACTTGATTCTCCAAAAGTGTACTAATAAACACCAAGTCTAATCCACAAAAGAAGCTAAAATAACCAAGAGTCTAACTATAAGAGAGACTAATCACCAAAGAGTCTAATACCAAAAATGAGGTTTATCGAACTATTTATAAAAAAAACAAAGAGCTAATTAAAGGCGGACTCTATTTGCTGGAAATCTGTCAAAATGCGGATGGTCCTTCTTTAATTAGGTTTTTGTTTTTTTATAAATAGTTCGAAAAATCTCATTTTTGGTGTTAAACTCTTTGGTGATTAGACTCTATTGTAGTTAGACTCTTGTTTATTTTAGCTTCTTTTGTGGATTAGACTTGGTGATTATTAGTACACTTTTGAAAAATCTTTAGTCTTCAATTAATTTCAGTAATTGATTGTTGGTGATTTTGTTGATTAATCAAGTGAACTTCTAGATTTTATTCTTTCTCATTGAAGTAAGTGCATTAATTCTTATATTACATATTTGAATATTGTGAATATGACTATGGGTAACTAAACTCCATAACTAGGGTTGTGGGAACCATAGGCCAATAATGAGGTAAAACCTAACTAAAATAACAATTCTAGAATAGTGTCTTGCATGTATTGATAATTCTTTCGCTTAGAAGTCTTTTTAACGGATGGCAAATTTTAGAACTCGCCTTAATGCTACTTGCCGAACCAAGGAGGTAGATAATAGGAAAAGAATTATCAACATAGATTTGGTGTATACTATGTAATATGCTAGTATTGATTGGTACGAGGTAATAACTTAGTCAAATATTGCATACGATGCTTAATATGAGGTAAAGGTAAGGGTTAGTATAGCAACACACGTAGCCGAACCAAGATGGAGAGTGAAATTTTCTAGATGCCAGACCAAGGATTTAGAAATACATAACTTATCACTTTACATGCAAGATACTAGGAAAGAATTGTTATAGTTAGAATTATCGAGTTAGGAACCTGTGGAGAACACGTTAACCTTAGTTACTTTTATTAACTGATTAAACTCCAACATTTGAATCTCTTAGTGGTCTACTTTGATTTAGCTAATTATTTTCATTCATTTAGAAATAAAAATCCCCCTTTTATTGTCTTTGCTTTCCAAGGAAATAATTGACTAAATAGTAGTAACAATAGATTGAAGTTAAGTCTGAACTATTTTCCTCGTGGGAACGATCCCAACCTCATTAGTTGGGTTCTTTACTTGATACGACCGTATTATTTCTTATTTGAGAAGTAAGTTTGACTGTATCGGAAATGTTACAACTAAATTGGAAAAGTGTCAACCCTACTGTAAGGTCAGAAACTTTCAAAAAAATCACAACTTTTCATAAAAGTCGCAACTATTCATTAAACTCGCAACTTTTCATAAAAGTCACAACTTTTCATAAAAGCCGCAACTCTTCATAAAAGTAGCA